GCCCCCCACTGACCCCTCTGCCCCTGGCCTCCCCCACTAGCCCCTGGTGCCCCTCACTGACCCCAGTGCCCCTCCAACCCTTCTGCCTGGCGCCCCTCACTGACCCCCAGCCCCCCAACCCGTGGTCCCCCACAGTGACCTCCGCCCCCTGGTGCCCCATGCTGACCCCTCTGACTCCCGGTACTCCCAGGCACCACTCACTGACCAATCTGCCTCCCAGTGTCCCCTGGCGCCCCCCACTGACCCCCTCTTTCTCCCGGTGCTACCCAGTGCCCCCCCCGACCCCCCTGTGCGAGCCAATGACCCCAGCACCCCCTAATTATCCTCCCCACCCCCTGGTGCCCCAGTTGACCCCCAGCACTCCCTAGCCCCCCACTACACTCCCCCTGCCCCACAATGCCCCTACCAGCCCCCTACTGCCCCACTGAGCCTCCCAGCCCATCCCACTCCCTGCCCCACGGTGCCCCCTACCTTCTACAGCCCCCCACTACACTCCCCCTGCCCCACAATGCCCCTTAGCCCCAGCCCACCCCCTACCTTCCACAGCCCCCCAGGGGTACGTGCGCCCCCGGAAGGCCTTTTCCTTGGTCTCCCGGACGATGTCATTGGAGCCAACAACGGCGAACGGGATGCTGCGCTGGGAGGGGGAGGAGGCAGAGGAGGGGGGTTATGGGGTGTCTAGGGCCCCCCTTTCCTGTAGCCCCCCCAGAACTCCCCCTCCCCAGCGCTGGGCCCTTCTCACCTTCAGCTCCGCGTCCTGTGCCTTGAAGTCCTCGTCCTCATCCGAGTCACAGTCAGGGAACTGGTAGATGCTGATGGCGTTTTCCTCCAGCTCCTGCCGGATCTGGGGATGTCGGGGGGGGGAATGTCACCCCAAAACCCTCATGCACAACACAGACCCACCCCCCACCCCTGTGGGAAAAGCAGGGAGTCTGGGGGGGGTCACCAGGGGAATCAGGGTACAGGAAGATGTGGTTGGGGATTGGGGGAATTTGGGGTACAGGGTGACATGGGCTGGGATTGGGAGAAAATTGGGGGTACATGGAGGGAAATTCGGGATGCAGAGGGATGTGGCGAGGATCTGGGAGGGATGTGGGGGTCAAGCAGCAAATTTGAGGTGTGGGGAGATGTGGCTTGGAATTGGGAGGGATTTGGGGTGCAGGGGAAGGGGCTTTCCGTTGGGGAGGGATATAGGGTGCAGGGAATGGGGGGTTGGGATTGGGAGACGTGGGGTGCAAGAAGAGAAATTGGGGGCACTGGGGCAGGCTGTGAGGACTGGGGAGGGATTTGGGGTGCAGGGGGACGTGGCAATTGGGGAATGTGGGGTGCAGGAGGAGGGTTGGGATGGGGCACTATTTGGGGTGCAGGGGGATACGGGGCACATGGGCTGGGGGTCCCTGCCCCCTCTAGAAGCCCGCCCGACTCTCACCTTCTCCTTCATGGCCCCCACCTCCCGGGGGGTCAGCGCGTCGGCTCGGCCGATCACCGGCACGATGTTCACCTTGTGCTGCACGGCCCGCAGGAACGCCACGTCCAGGGGGCGCAGCCTGGGGGGAGGCAGGGAGTGAGGCGCCCCCAAATAGCCCCTGTGCCCCCCACATCCTTCCAGTGACCCCCAGCGCCCCCCACCGTCCCTCAGCCCACCAAGGGCCCCTATATGCCCCCAGCACCCCCACATCCTCGAGTGACCCCCAAATAACCCAGTGTCCCCTGGTGCCCCGAGATGACACCCAGTACACCCCCAATCCCCAGCACCCCATGTGACCCCCTCCTAGTGCCCCAATGCACCCCAAAGCTCCCCTGCCTTATCCCAGCCCCCACAACCGCCAGTGCCCCCCGCAGCCCCCCAGGCAGCCCCCCAGGCGCAGCACCCTGCCGTACCCATGGCCGAAGGGGGAGAGGAAGTAGAGGCAGCAGTGCACCCGCCCATCTGTGATGTTCTTCCGGTTCAGCCCGCTCTCGTCCCGGAAGAACTGCTCGAACTGCTGGTCAATATAGTCCACTATGGACCCCCAACTGGGACCGGCCCGGGGGAGCAGAGGAAGAGGGGTTAGTGCGGGTCTCCCACAATGCACTGCTCCACCAGCCCCAAATCTCCCCTTTCCCCCCCCTCAATCCCTGCTGGTCCATATAGTCCGGTATGGACCCCCAGCTGGGATCGCCCATTGTGAGGGGTTAGAGCCTGGGTCCTACAAGGCACTGCTCTGACAGCCCCCCTCCCTTCCCTAACTTGCCCCAGGATCCCTGCTGGTCCATATAGTCCAGTATCAGCCACCAGCAGGGACCAGCCCTGGGGAGGGGCTAGAGCCTTTGTCCCACCATGCACTGCCCTGACACACCCCACCCCCACTCTCCCAATTTCTGCCTCCCCTCCGAATCTCCTCTCCCCGCTCCCAGAATCCCTACTGGTCAGTATAGTTCAGTATGGGCCCCCAGCTGAGACCAGCCCAGGGGAAGGGGGAGGTTGGTGAGGGGTTCCCACAATGCACTGCTCTGACAGCCCCCGCCCCCCAAGCTCCCCATTCCTGCCAGTCCATATAGTCCTCTATGGGCTCCCAACTGGGACTGGCCTGGGGAGAGGAAGGGAGGTGGTTTTGTGAGCGTATCCCACAATGCACTGCTCCGCCCTCACCCGGTCAATATAGTCCACTATGGACTGGGCTGGGCAGGGGTGTCCCCCTCCCCCCCTCACCAGTCAGCGTTGTCCACGGCGTCCCCAAAGCCTGGGGTGTCCACGACGGTGAGTTTCACCCGGACGCCGCCTTCCTCCAGCTCGACGGCGTGCCGCTCGATCGCCAGGGTCTGCGGGACGCGCGCTGGGGGGGACGGGGTCAGTGCTGGGGGACAAGGCCCCCCACCCCGATCCGCCCCCGGGTCTGCCCCGTGCTGCACCCCAGCCCCCCCGATACACCCCTGCGTCCCACCCACCCTTGCCCTGATACACCCCCAGGTCCTCCCCTGCTGTGCCCCAGCCCCCCACCCCGATCCGCCCCAACCCCCCCCGATACACCCCTGCGCCCCACCCACCCCTGCCCTGATACACCCCCAGGTCCTCCCCTGCTGTGCCCCACCCCGGCCGCATCCCAATACACCCCTGGCTCCTGCCCTACCCCCAGACTCACCCCCCAATTCCCCACCCCCCATACACCCCCAGGTCCCGCCACCCCGCTCATTCACCCTGCTACACCCCCAGATCACCCCACCCAACTCCACAGCCCCGATACACCCCTGGGTACCACACCACGCCGGCTGCACCCCAGCCCCCTCACCCACCCCCAATACCCCCTGGGGTTCTGCCCCCCCCAGCCTAATACAGCCCTGGGTCCCGCCCCCACTCACCCTGGGCGTCCAGCAGGGTCCGATCCTTGTACAGATCCGTCAGGAACAGGCTGTCGATCAGCGTCGACTTCCCGAGCCCAGACTCCCCTGCAGGGAGGGGCGGGGGTGAGCCAGGACTCCTGGGTTCTATACTTGCTCTGGGAGAGGCGGGGGGTCTAGTGGGTTAGAGCGGGGTGGGGGGCTGGGAGCCAGGACTCCTGGGTTCTCTCCCCAGCTCTGGGAGGGGAGTGGGGTCTGGTGGGTGAGAGCAGGGGGTGCTGGGAGCGAGGACTCCTGGGTTCTCTCCCCGGCTCTGGGAGGCGAGTGGGGGCTAGTGGTTAGAGCAAGGGGGTGCTGGGAGCGAGGACTCCTGGGTTCTCTCCCCGGCTCTGGGAGGGGAGTGGGGTCTGGTGGGTGAGAGCGAGGGGGTGCTGGGAGCGAGGACTCCTGGGTTCTCTCCCCGGCTCTGGGAGGGGAGTGGGGTCTGGTGGGTGAGAGCAGGGGGTGCTGGGAGCGAGGACTCCTGGGTTCTCTCCCCGGCTCTGGGAGGCGAGTGGCATACATCTGCTCA